AGCGCGGCCACAGGCGGTAGGCGCGTTCTCCAGTGCACTAAGCAGACGGACCACACTCAATACGGGCGGGCAACCTTCTGGGTGTTGACGAGTGGAGCGTGACCGGCTGTAAGCGCTGCCCTCCTGAGAATGACAATGTGCGACCAGTACGCGTTCTCGCGGGTCGTACGCCCAAGAACTTGTTCTCGATTTGAGACTCCGGTCGATAACAGAAGGCTCAGGTTCTGTGATAGTCCGTGCTGACAACCAAACAGAAGAACGATAGAGCAGAGAGAAGAACCGTCAGAAATGGCAACAGGAATTGTATTGATGCACTATTCATGGAAGGGTTCAAGACTGCAGCCAAGGCCGCGTTATATCGAAACGATACTGCGTAAGAGTGGGAAGAGGAGTGTGCGTTTGCTCCGCTTTCTACAATGGGCGCCAATGGGGCTGAGTCCCGCGCTTTCTGCCCGAAGAGCCTCGCGGCAGCTTAGAGCCCTCTGAGCCCAAAAATCTGACCAAATTCCCATAACGTGGGCAGTATCTGGATTCTCTATTGGGTCACTCCAGCTCCAACATGGCGTTATCAGTGGCATCTGCCGCGTTTGAGGCTGAGAATCGACGCCCGAGGAAGTGCATGTTTATGGGCGGAACACACCGGTGGCTTTATAAACAGTGTTTATAGTGTTTGGGCATAAGATGTTTTCCGCTTGTGCCAGCCTTGAAGTTGATAAGAGGACCTTGGTGATCAAAACAGCGCCTCTCACTGCAAGCAGTCCAAGATTACCAAGATGAGACTTCTGAACGCCCGCACTCGCCAATTTAAGGAATATGTCAATGGGGACATTCCCCCGTATGCAATCTTGTCGCACACCTGGGATGAGCAGGAGGTCTCGCTCAGCGACATGTCGCATGCTACAAGCGATTACCCCAGCAAAAAGGGATACAAGAAGATCGACTGGGCATGCCTCCTGGCGCAGCAGCCTCGAATACGTGTGGATCGACACTTGCTGTATCGACAAGTCAAGTAGTGGCGAGTTGGCAGAGGCCATCAACTCCATGTACAGCCGGTACGCACAGGCCGAGGTCTTTACGCCTACCTCTCGGACCTTAAGACGACTGCGCCCCTGGAAACATTGACCAACTGTCACTGGTTCTCGAGGGGATGGACTCTCCAGGAACTCATCGCTCCTAAGCGTATGATTTTCTTCGACGAGAACTGGAACCAGAGGGGCACAAAGAAGGACCTCGTCGACAGACTCTCGCACAAAACGGGCATTCCCAAAGCAATTCTTCTGCACCAGAGGCCGCTCTCCTCGGTGTCCGTTGCGCAAAAGATGTCGTGGGCAGCAGGCAGAGAAACGACCAAAGTCGAGGATACGGCGTATTGTCTCCTTGGCATTTTTGGTGTGCATCTCGAACTAAAAACCTTAATATTAGAAGTATTCTGCTCTGCCAATTGAGCTAATGAGAATTATTAATTTTTAATTATTAATAAAAAAATTAATAAGTCCCTTTCTGTACGGCGAGGGCCACCGAGCCTTCCGGCGACTGCAAGACACCATTGTCAGCTCGGTGCCCGACTTGAGCATCTTTGCCTGGAAGCTGCAACCACCTCCGTCCTCAACAGACCCGGCCGAAAGAAACTTGCAGCGCCGCGAGTATTGCGGTGTCTACGCGCCGTCACCCTCCGCATTCGCCGCATCTCGATCCTTCGTAAAGCAAAAGGCATTTGGCCGGCCGGAGCTGCTGCCCATGAACGGCAGCATTATGGCCAGGATGCAGTTCTTGATCGAGATGACGCCGAAGAACGGAGGATACCGCTATCTCCTTCCTCTTTCCCGGCGACAGGGAATATTATAGCTGACTCGAAACACGCCCCTGATCACTGGGTTCACGTACAACGAGGCAGGGGCGTTTCTGCCCTTCAACGTCAATGACACGACGGCGCCGAACGGAACTGCCACTCCAGGAGCCGGAGGATTGGCATGCGGTGTCAGACGCGAGATAATGTGAGTATTGTCTGCGCTTGCCTTTTCCCTGATTTTGAATTAACCAACCCCCCTCGCAGTAACCGCAGCGCCTACGGCCTGACGACGTATGCCTACTTGTTCTCGGGCAACTTCAGTAACATCACGCCTCGATACTGGCTAGGCGGCATGCACGGCTGTCCGTACCTCTCCCTACTGTACCATGATCTAGTTCGTTCCCCATCACGGGAAGTACTGACCAGAAGACAGCCGACATCCCCCTTGTCTTCGGCACGCATTACCAGTTCCGCGACAACTCGACCGAACTCGAGTGGGAGACAAGCTACGCCATTGAAGGTACCTAAACGCTCTCCCCTGTCGCCCCTTGCCGGTTTTACCATGATGCTGACGGGTCATGTCCAAACAGCCTTCTGGATCTCCTTCGCCGCCAATCCCTCTGCGGAACCCCGAAATCATCTCGGCCAAGCATGGCCCAAGTACACGGCAGCGAGCCACCAGATCGTCGTGTTTGGTAACGCAACGGGGCTCGGCGCGTCATATGTCGCGTCAGGAGATTGCAAACAAGTACAGTGGTCCATGCTAGCTATTTGAGAAGATACCTAGGCCACGGCAGCGACCAAGACGGCCCGAGACTTGGCAGAGTAGAGAGGGCTTGTTGGTTGACCTACATCCCTTCGTACGTCACTTGATAACCTTTATTGAGCAGTCGAGTTCCAGAGTTGATCACCCCGTCCAGAATGACGGACCTTGGAGAGCTTCAGTCGGGCTCCGGAGAGGGAGGGTACGGCGGGAAGGGGGAGGGGGATGGTATTAGTGTGTGCCGGACCTGCGGCAAGACGACAACTAAAGAGTGGGTTGAGTTGAAGGCGTGTGCCAAGTGCTTGAAAGTCAAGTACTGTGGGCGGCCGTGCCAGAGGGCGGACTGGAAGCGGCACAAGAAGGAGTGTGCTGCTAAAGAGTGACAGAGAGAGTACCCAGTGTACGGTGTATGGAGTATGTCGGTGTATAGAGTACCCAGTGTATGGATGACCTTAGTGTAGGAAGTGCACGTACCGTGGTGTATTGCAATGAGTTGTATGACTATATTCGTTACAGAAACTCTGGGATGTGAATACGTTTAGACAGTAGTCTCCTTAGTGCAGGCTGTGTTACTTGGCCTTGCTGCAAGAAAAATGGGACACAGTTTCTGATATCGTTGTGGCCCCGTCGTCGTTGAGCTCGGTCTGCAAACTGCTTGTAGTGGTCTAACAATATTGGAGATGCCATCCAAGCGCAGCGGTGCCATTCCTACAGAGTCCATCACCCGTTTCCATAACGACCCTCGGATGATATACCGAGCTTCTGCACCAAAGAAGAATCTACCTGTAGCGGAAGAAAACACCCAGCTTCTTACGAACCACCTCAAAATATTTGTCGATGAAGGTACCTATTTACTGGTAGCCATGATCAATTGCGTGGGTACATGAATCCAACCCCGTGCCATTGAAGTTCTACGAAAAGGGACGCCATGCAGCTAACAACGCCTCCAAATACTCAACATTTAAGCAGAACTAAACTGTTAACATCGCCATCATAGTTGTCAATGAGGTTTGCCGTTGACACACCTCACCTCCAGCATCCCTACCCCTTCGAAGTACTCCCTCAACCCCTGGAAGTCATCAACGCTCATGACAGCACCAACATACCCATCCGGCCTGATCACAGCACAGCACCCTTTCTTTGCGTCTAGTTCCAGCCGGTCATACACTCTGCCATGGCCTTCGAACACGCTCTCAGCGTCAGCAAACACCCGCCAGTAGTCGTACCCCTGGTCGCTACTCCAGGGCCGATACACCTCGTGCATGTCGAGCAACTGCACCTTCGCCCGATCAGCACAATGCACGACAAGTTCCTCGACCGGGACCTTTCGCCACGCCGCGAAATCGTCGCCATCAAATGGCAGGGTCAACCGTCCCAGGCCAGAGCCACGGTCCGAGAGGAACTCTCCCAGGCTCTGTACCTTGGCAAACTGATTGGAATCGGCAATGTCCCCAGCAAAGACAATGACCCGAAAGGCACCGGTAGCCTGCATCCTCTTCTGAATGCGCACAGTAATGCCATCCGCCTGATAGAGCACCTGAAAATCCTGCAGCCGCTTTCCAGGAACTAGGTCAGCGCCTTGAGCAGACTGGGCCCAAGATCCTCCACGCCCCTAGGCAGCTGCACGATACAGGACTTGGGATATCGAATTGACAGCCCCGTGTTGAACTTCAGACCGCGCAGCATCTCCGAGTCAAACTCGGCCGACGGCGCAGCAAACAGTTTCAGATAGCCCCTGTCAAACGCAATGAGATCCTGGGCGACGGGCCTCCGTTCCAGCTCGTACGTTCGCAGCAGCGCTTCTTGGGACGCCGCATCCGCATCTGCAACCGCAGAGCCAGTACGAATGAACCGGCGGCCGCCCTGCAGCAGAACGAGGCGCAACTTCCAGCCGAGGTTATAGGCGTCCTGGATGGACGTGTTCATGCCTGACCAGCCTTGGGCGAGTGCGTGTGCACTGCGTCGCCGACGAGGAAGGCGCGCTCGCGGCAGCGCGAGAAGTGGCTGCCAACGCGCTGGCCCACGCGGTAGGCAGACCACCAGGAGACGGCGCCCGCTTCTAGCGTGTAGGGGGAGAGGATGTTGCGAGCGGCGGCCAGGACGCGGTCCAGGGTGAGGTCTTTAGGGTCGGGCAAGGCGCTACCGCTGCCGACGGGGATGTAGAAGCGGACTTCCTTGTTGCTGCGGGGGACGCTGAGGATTGTGCCGGTTGCGGCACGGAGAAAGCACGCCCGCCGGATGTCGGGGAAGTTGGTCTTGGGAACAAAGTCGACTACGCCTGGGGGAGAGGATTAGTATATGGCTGGCAAGACTTGAGCAGATAGGTCAGTGAATTTGGGGTGACTGACCAAAGACCGAGTCCGTCAAGTCGCCCTCGAGGACTACACCGAGTTGCTTCCTCAGCCAGCTACGGGCGCCGTCACATCCGACAATGTATCTGGCGTGGATGTACTCGGTGTCAGGACCATGTTCGTTGGGCCCCTATTTGCGCTTAGTGACCGCTACCTTGCAATGCAAAGCCATGGGCGGGGACACTTACGTTGGCTGTTGGTTGCCCATTTAATGAATTGCTCTCACATTGTTTCTCACGAACCAGGCCCACCTTTACAGGGTGGTCATCGCTTTGGTGAGAGCAAGACGTGTTGATCTCGACGGTGACTGGGTATGTACTGTATCGGATTGGGCCGTTGCTGTGCGATAGGAGATTCTGCAGCATATGGTGCTCCACCCTGGCTAGAAGCTGGTTAGTCCAAGTACGGCTGGATGCACGCATGCAGACTGGAACTTACACTGCTGAAGCATGGTCTCCCGGACCAGCGCTGCCGCCAGATCAAATATATTTACAAATAACGTGGTTTATCACCGAAAGCTCCATATCACCGAAAGCTCCACGAAATCGCGTCCACGCGACATCTCTCTTTTACACCTACATTCTCCGCAAATCCAATATGCCACAGAAAAACGATGAAGGCCAGATTGTCTTGGCCCTCCAAGCTCTCGAAAAGGACCCGACTTTAAGCCTAAGAGCTGCAGCTGAGATTTATTCGGTCCATCATACGAAACTGAGCCGCCGCCGACGGGGCAAACCATCACGACGCGATATCACAGCCAACTCGCGGAAGTTGACAGATTTAGAAGAATCGGTCATTGTTCAGTATGTCCTCGACTTGGATTCCAAAGGATTTCCCCCCCGCTTGTCCAGTGTGGAGGACATGGCCAACCGACTACTTGCTGAACGCGACGCGGGACGCGTCGGCGCGCACTGGACGCATCGCTTCGTTAAACGACAACCAGACCTTACTACGCGATTCAATCGGAAATACGACTACCAGAGGGCCCTGTGCGAAGATCCAGATAT